GACAAGTTCTTGGATTGTAATAAACTTCAATTCGTCGTCAAGTGCTGTCCGTAAAATTATTCCCGAAATCTCCTCAATTACTCGTAAGCCCGTTCACGTGCGATAAAGTCGTCGTATTATTCGTCCGTGTCGGCATTTACAGATACCGTAAGTTCATTGTGTAATGCCAGATAATATAACTTTTTTTTAAAGACGAAAAACTACCAAACATAACACTTTCTTTAAAAATCTATAGCATTTGCATCCAAATTCAATACTTACTAATAAAAGCTTTTTCACTTTCATTTCTTGTGCAAAGATGAATCAAAAAGAGATCGTGACATTACAAGTCTGGTGATGTTGTTGATGTTATTTCGTAACAAGTAAAAAATATTCAACAACTTTTGGGTACTTTTACTAACCATATCCTCCGTACATCCCGCCATAACCACCCGTACTTGCTAAACCAGATCTCTGTGGTCTACTAGGTACTGGTGGAGGGTTCCTAGTGTTGTTTTGTACATCACAGCAAGAACCTTGATTCAAAGCATTTGGACGATTACCATACGGGACCGAAGGACGAGGAGTTAGTGAGCTACGAACTGGTGTGTTCGCTCTGGAATTCACTCCAGCACCTTCCCATGGTTTCATAGGAGCGCTCATGATGTTTTTATGGTGTATAACTAAGAAATTTTAGAGTAAAGACGATGAAAATTTACGATTTTAGGATCCATAATTCCATCATGGCTGCTCTGTAGACTCGGTGATCCACTCCAGAGTCCTGGGGGAAACCACAGGAAGCCCAAGTCCTTTGTCTGCATCAAGTTTACCCAAGGCCAAAAAAAATTTGGTAGATCTCAAAAGCTGTTTTTTTGGTAGAGTGCTTTTAGTCTCGCTGTTGAAAAGTTAGATAAATTTATCTAACTTAGATAACTATTTAGTTGACGTCACCTAAAATAGTAAAAGTGCACCAAATAGAGGTCATGCTAATCCGGGGTTTGTTTTACCAGAGATTGAGTGAATAGACATTCATTTGTATCATCGTTTCTCCCCCTGATCTCAGTAGCTGTTTATTCGTAGTTTCAAATTTGTGACGTCAGCTAAAATAGTAAGTAACTTATCTAATTTAGTTGACATCACCTATTCAACAGTGAGACTAAAAGCACTCTAGCTTCTACTTTAAGATATAAATTCTGATCTAAATTCGTGGAATTTTTAGGAATGGGAAAAATCTCTCCCTCCAAAGCTGAAATTAATGATCACAAGATACCACTTTGTTTTTACTTCAGGGTTTTATTACATGTAATCTACATGCCTTAGTTGGTAAAACCAGCTACCATCAAGTCAAAATGTAAAAAGACCAGGTATAGAAGTATAGTTCAACTATGAACTGTTCCACTACACAATTTTCTGCACCAGTATTCTTCCCTATGGGTAACCAAGTTACCCTTTTACTTACAGTGTGACATGGCAAACTTATTTTTTTACTAGTTAGCCAGACATCTCAGGACAACCACAAAAGTTAATATTTAAAATTAAATAAAGAAATAAAATTAAATAAATGGCTAGAAAGTGATACCCATTTTGGTCCCTTTGCTGGTTAACACTACATTTTCATAAATAATTGAAACACTTGGCAGGAAAGGATTTAACAACATTAATAAAAAAAAATTGGGTGGCCACGGTTAGGCATGTCGCACTGCAAGACCTAGTTTAAACCAGCATTTGTTGAGAAGCAGACTACCCCTATTCTGTCTTCAACAACCTTTATTCCCTTTTAGTTTTCCATTCACAGAAATTATCATCAACATATGGAAAATGTTGTATTTTAAACATTCACAGTAATAATTTCACATCAATAAAAATCACAAGATTCCAATCTAAAAACTCTTTATTATATCAATATATATTTTTAAAAATATGAAAAAAAATTAGAAAAGCAATACTAATATATTTACAATGAAAGTGCATAGAAAAATAAATATTTGATGCATGTACAAATTACATTCACAAGCTTAAGTAACAATGAAAATAACTATAGATTTATTAGAAAAATCACTTCTTTTCACTTAAAAAAATACTTCTAAAGAATAAAGAAAAATCAAAATACCTAGTCTTAAGCCTTTATAAATTCTTTAATATGTATAAAAGTGCTTAAATCTAATCTTGTGTTGCAATATGTACAATAGTTTACACTAAAATCTTGAGCATCACAGAAAATGACTAATTGCCAATTGGATTAGCTGGCTAAATAAATCCAGTTTAATGTAGCCAAAAGATTTCTAATCTGAATTAGTCAAATAACTTGATTTCAATTAAGGTATTGAAAAAATATCTTTAGAAATCTGCATTTAAAGTAAAAACATTAGCTTCTTTGTCTTGGTTCATCACTCCACTCCTCTGATATTCTCCTACTCTCTTCTCGAAGAAGTTTGTTTTGCCTTCTAAGGAGATGTTTTCCATGAAGTCAAATGGATTTTCAACATTGTATACCTGTAGAAAAACAACAAATTTAATGTTTAAATTTAAATTTTATGTATATAATTTAGTCCTACTTGTTGGTGAAAGTGGGAAGGGTGGGTGCTGTGCACTGCTTCTTACCAATGCCACCTGGGTTTGAGACCTGCCGGGCTCAGTGTCATATGTGAGTACAGTTGTTTGTTGGTTCTCTATGGATTTTCCTCCCGCCACGAAAGTCAACTTCTAAATTCTAAATCAATCTATCAGCTGCCTTATCAATAATTGTGTTGCAATCCCTGTTAGGCATCATGTCAACCACCTAGGAGTGGTGTTAAATGCAGTAGATTTAAAAGTGAAAAAAGCTAAATATTTCATCTATGCATGCATGATTTCAACAAGTAGAGAAAAACCACACTAGAATGATTTTCATATGACCGTGAAAGAAAATAGACCATTTAGTTTGTATTAGTTGATAAAGAAAAAGAAAATCATTGGTTTAGAGTCTACTACTAACTATTAGTTTGCCTATTCTTTCACGATCATATGAAAATCACTCTAACAAAAAAAAGTTACCTTGCTACATTGTAATGCTACTAAGAGCCTGTCAGCTACAAACTCTATGTACTGCCTCATTAGTTCACAGTTCATTCCTATCAGTCTGACTGGAAGTGCAGATGTCAGGAACTCTTGCTCAATTACTACAGCATCTTTGATAATCATTTTGATGGTTTCTTCTGATGGTTTGTTGACTAGATGCTTGAACATTAGACAGGCAAAGTCACAATGCAGACCCTGGAGTATAACACATGAAATATTTAATGAATGCAAACAAGCTTAATGTTAATTTTTGTTTTGATCATAGGAATATCTTCCCTTGGTAAAAAAAAATACTGCCCCAGCTGTGGAGGTATGGATACTTTCCTTCAGATCTATACATAAAGCTCTTAAACTTTGAGCTTAAAGGATATCTGAAACTTATGGTGATCTAAGTCAGGGGAAAAAATTGAATTGGGCCTTAGCATGTTGGCAGAGGAAGAGAAACCAGAGAAAAACTCTTATCACATTTAGTACTAAGTCCAGGAGTTTAACCCAACCAAACCCCTGGTGGTAAAAGGTAAGTGCACTATTGCTATGCCATGATTTTTAAATTTTAACAACTCACCTCATCTCTACTAATAAGTTCATTTGAGAAAGTAAGTCCAGGCATAAGTCCCCTGAAATCAACAAAAAAGAATATTAATATGATACTATGTTTGTGGATTTTTGGTATTAATTATTTACGAAATGTCGGGACACAGAAAAAGCAAAGACATTAACTCATCATTACCTTTTCTTTAGCCAAAAGATTGCAGCAAAAGAACCAGAAAAGAAGATCCCTTCCACAGCAGCAAAAGCAATAATCCTCTCACCAAAGTTTGCTCTTTCGGGGTTGATCCAGTCAAGAGCCCATTGAGCCTTCTTCATGATGCATGGCATTGTTTGAATGGCATTGAATAGACGCATCTTTTCATCTGTTTCCTTGATGAGGGCCTCAATCAGGAGACTGTACATCTCAGAATGAATGTTCTGTTAATAAATTGACAAAAATTACCTTAGCTTTTTTTAATTATAATTGAAATTTACTCCTTTGCAACGAATAAAAAAGATCAAAGAGGAATTTGACCAGACAACAATCATTGACTAGCCAAGTTTCAAGGACATCTTAAAGGAAGAATATAGATATCTTACCTCAATAGCGATTTGGAATCCATAAAAGCACCTGGCTTCAGGGATCTGCACTTCTTGACTGAAACATTCCACCAGATTTTCATTTACAATGCCATCGCTGGCTGCGAAGAATGCAAGCACATGGGATATGAAGTGACGCTCATCATCCTGAAACAAAATGCAGAGCAAATTTTATCAATACCCTGAAACAACAGAATAGAAGCACAACTTACCTACAAATTTAATTGGAATTTACCATATTAGGTTAAGCAGATGGAGAAAAACCCTGGAGTCAAGGGAGGGGGCTTATAAACTCTCTCACTCTAGAATTTGTAACTGTTGTCCGTCCACCAGGGTAGAAAATGGCCCCAAAAGGATTTTTATAAACTTTGTAAAGAAAAGTACAACTTATTCTTACAGTGAGCTTAGCCCAATCTCTCTGATCGCCAGCCAAGTCCACCTCCTCTGCTGTCCAGATTGAAGCTTCTGCCTTCTTGTACATATTCCAGATATCAGGGTATTTAATTGGAAGAATCACAAATCTATGTGGGTTCTCTCTTAATAGGGGCTCATCTTCAGTGTTAAAGGTTGGCTTTTTCTTGGTCTTTGGTGGTGTTCTTACAGATACCTTATAATCAAAAGAAAAGACTTATGTAACAGAGATTTACATGTTATGCAATGTTCGGGTTTACAAAGGACACAAAGAACTCTTAACGGTTTTCATACACGCTTATATTTTATGCAAAAAAAAAACCAGAATATTTTCTTTAGGAATTGAAAACAAACTAAAATGGATTTATTTTAAGTAATTCAATTAAGAATGTAGAAGAAGACGTAAGCAAAAAGACATCTATTTGAGAAGAGAAGTATATCGAGAGTGTGGTTGCAGTTGGACTTTGGTTTGATACTCCCGCCAAAACTGCTCAAGTCGTTGCCCACTTCAAAGAAAAAACTCAAAGTTTTCCCAACCAATCCTAGTCTTTGGATGTATTCTTAGTAAGAATAAGAGTTTAACACTGTAATTTAGAATTTAGAAGTCGTGAAAATTTAGGACTAGAGTTATGGAATTTCCATGCCGAAGGATTCCGTTTCAACGTTCGCGCGCCAGAATTTCTTTGACTCTTAAAGAATACTTATTTTGAAGCTTAAGAAAGTAAATTTTTAAATGAATTTGAAATTATTTAGTTCTTAAGGATGAATCTTTCTTTTAGATTTAGCTTCATTTTGAAATTTTTTTAGAATTTTTGCGTTATACTCACCTTGAAGTTCGTGTTCTCCTCATCTTCGGTGGTAGTTGGAATAACAGAACTCGATTTGTCGATCGAGATTTTCTTCAAACCATCTTCTAATTTGTTCAAGTCGTTGTTTTTGAGGGTGTAGTTATCTGAACCAAGCATTTTGAATTGAAAATTAGACTAAAAAAGTAGAAAAATAGCTAAAAAACTAGGAGATATAAAAGTACGTATACGTGCTAAACTAAGAGAGAAGCGAAGGTATGATTCAAATTTGAAGCCAAGCGAAAATTTATATTGAAATTCGCGCGCTAGAACGAAACCAGCCAATCACGTTCGCAGGAAACCAATATGTGCTGCAATGCTATTGGCTTATGATTTCGCGGGAATTTCGAACAATACATTCTTCGGTTGCTTGTTGACAAGGCAGAGGTGCGCATGTTCTACTTGTCCTTATTAGGAGGACAAAGGGATTAACTTGGCTTTTGGCGGCAAGTTTGAAAATTATTTATTTATGCAAAATTAAAATTCTTAATCCACGCGACTAAACGCGAACAAAAAAGCTTTTACGACTATCTTATTATGAGAGTTTTTGGGTTATGTAAGACTGTAAAATAAGAATAACAAATCATGAATGCTTCCAAATTTGTATTGGAATTGTAGTCTTGCACCCGCTATTTAAGGACAAAATATTGAATAAACAAACGTTAAAATGTGAAAAACACCCAATCAGCTGTTTGTGCGTCGTTTTATAAAATACCTTGAATTCCCTTTGGGAAGGGTTCTAATTCAACAAAATCGAAAGAAGATTAATTCTAGCATCTTTATAATTATAAACACAACACAACTGAAATATAAATGACAAAAGAAATGTAGATGCATAAAATTGACTCGAAAATTAGTTTGAAAGTATGGGATTCAAGGAGGTATATTATTCACCTCCGGCTAGTATATCGTAGTGCCTTTCACATATAAGCATATATAATTCAACAAAAACAAAAGAAAATTAATCTTAGCGTCTGAAACTTAATATATTAGATATAAAAAGACAACAAAAGAAATAAGAATGAAAAGAGTTGATTATTAGTACCACAGGAAGCCCAATGTTTTTTTGCCGAGAACTACAGGTCAGCGCAATCCCCCATCAGAGTAAGTCCCGGATAAGCTTTCGACGCCATCTTGGATTTGGTGTTTTGGACAAGAAGAGCAGACGTCGTTGAACTGTTTTGAAGTAAATAGGTAAGTTATCGTCAATTGATAACGATATTAATAAGATAGATAGGTGAATGGATATCTACTAAATACTATTGGATGTGAATTTACTTTATATGTTCAAACAGTAATTTATATTTGAACCATTTATCGTACATATTTTTGTACTGTTGCACCAAAGCATTAATACGCACAAAAATACTTTAAGATTCAAATCCTTTAGAAAGTCTGGCCCAGCTGCGGGAGTGGTGTAGATGAGCTGGACGAAAAAGCAGGAATATAGGAGCTTCATTTCCGGGGGGGAGGGGGGTTGGTAATTGGTACAATGTGAAAATCATCTGTTGTGCAGAACTAGCTTGTGGGTGAAATCATGAATAACCATACTTTATATTTCAGCGATATTATGTATGGGGTACAAGGAGGAAGATCAAGATGCTCACCTTTTTGGGAAGATTTGATGACTTGTGCTCAGAAGGCAGGAAGGAGAGACCAGTGGGAAGTCTGCCAGAATCAGAGAGAAGATTATATTGAATGTTTACATCATAAGAAATTGGTAAACATATCTATTTTGTTTTGTTTTTGGTTGACATTGGGTAAGAAGTCGGGTGCTATCAGTAATTGATCATGCCTTGGAATCTCAAAATATTTATATTGCTGATGTTGTGAATACTCCATTTTACAGTTCAGTTCAGTGACCAAGAATAATAGTTCCAAGTCAAGCCTGGGGTTTCCATGCATAGCAAAACTATACTTTGTATCATACGCGGCAAATCCAATTTGGCTTGGAACTATTATTCGTTATCACTGAACAGAACTGTAAAATGGAGTATTCTTTACTAAATACTATACTTGATGTCTGGGATCTTTGACACTGAAATGAGGCTAACCATGAGCAAATGACTCTGTAATCAAGGAACACTGGCATTTTATGAATTTGAAAAATGTTTCTAAATCTAAACAATGTTTACCACCCACTGGCAATTAGTATTATAGCATTAATAATAATTGCTGATAGCACCCAATGTGTAGTGTTAATGCACTGTCATTCACTGATGTGCTTTGGGAAAGCACAGGTTGCATAGCACCTCCACAAAAATCAACTCCTAAATTTCAGATCGATCACGAAAGGAGGGCCACAAGTTTTTTAGCCACTGGCTATTAAGTGTTGCCCTCAAAAGAAGTATTTTTTCCTGGTTGTGGGTTTAATTCTTCATTCTGCTTGTTTATCATATCCTGTACTTTTAAAGGTTTTCCCATCGTTTTCTAGATATCATCCCTCTGTTTGAGCTAAATTTCCTAATTTGATAAAAAACATATCTTTAACCTGAAGCTTTAAAGCATATCTTTAAATTGTATGCTCAGACTTGCTTTTATTTTTTCATCATCAGTTCACAAGAATCGAAAGAATACACAAAGAAAAACAAAGACTAATCAAAGAGGGGAAATGGCCTCCCAAACAGGATGCAGTAGAGTCTTCTTAGATTTTTTTGTTAGTTGTCAACACATTTATAAGTCTGTAAACTGAAAAAGTGTGAAATAAAGAATGGACCTTTATGCTCAATAAGATCAATAACATAACATTTTTTACATTATCAAGATATTGTGTGAAGATTTGAATAATGTACCTTTACTCTTATGTCGAAAATATATTGTATAAACTTGTTTGTAACGTTCTATTTCATTATTAGTTTATATCTCACTGATGGGACATTTTGACATATCTGTTTGTCAGACAAAGGTGATGGAAATCAAGTCGTGGTGTAGCAGTAGCACACTTCTCTCTCACCCCTGGGGTCGGGGGGTTTGAGACCCCATCACGTGGTAGAGTTTGTTAGGCCTCCTTCAATACTAAATTTCCCCTCTCATGGATCTCAATTCTCCCATTTTCCTTCCTCCTCAAAACCTAATAAGCTAAATTCAAATACCAATTTGATAAAACTTGGAGTTCACTGCATCGAGTAAATTTGTCGAATCAAAAAAAAAAAAAAAAAAATTAAAACGTTTTGCAAAATTAAAGTATAAAATATAAATTGATAAACTCTTAGAATTTTTATTGCATAATGACAGTGCAATTTAACTTTTTTGTGATTAAAAGAGCATTTTTTGTTCCCAAACGTACTGACACATTTCCAATGACATACGTCGCTGCGCAAGCTTGTTTTTCAAAACGCATCCCACACTGAAAGGAGTGGCGGTGGAAGGTTAGTCATTAGCGACAGAGGCGATTTATTGCGTTTGCTGGTCATAGCAAGGGGTTAATCATCTACGGTTTAGGGGTCGACTAACCTCTCCCTTAGGCTTCGGCCGAGCTTCCTGATCAGTTTGTAATTCGTCGGATAGAGGTGTCGGGGTCGAAATCTCCGGCGTAGCCGTAAATGCTTCGCGCTGCCATATGACGGTTCAGCACTCGATGTCTGGAAGTATGGTCCTGTTCAGTTAAAAAAAATTGAACTAAAACATTATCCTAAAATTATTTTTTTCCGATCTATGTATCATCACTTACAACAAGTCATGTATCTTGCATTCACAAAGAAAAACCAGCCCAACACCAACCGATAAGTACAGTGCTCCATCAGATATTTTCTTCACTCTGAAAGAGTCCTTAAAAACCCTGTTAAAAACTCGCCCTAAAGAAAAAAAAAACTTGCGATGCCGAGTCCAGGAATATGAACTCGAGACCCCAGAGATGAGAGGCGAATGCACTACCACGAAAATTTGGTTGAAATTACAACTAGCGTAAGAAAACGACACATACAACATCTTAGGCAAATTTCAAACAGGCTTTTCCTTTACAATTCGGCTTCCTATGATGAGCAGGCGAACATTCTTACATACATTGCTTTGAATGTTTGGTTTGGGCTTTTTGTGGCTTCTGAATGAACGGTCATTCATATAATGCTATCGATAAATAATTAATAATCTTTTCTTAAGAAACTGCTTGATACAAAAGGATGCCTAACTTAAAAATAAACTCGCCAACACCTCACACCTCCCTGTTATTACAAACTGCTCTATGCCTTAATTGTAGGCACCGTTTATCTATTTTTTCCATTGTCTTCTGTTGAATTGGTGGTGTTTTGGTAGCTTTGTTCTGTAACACCTGTCAAAAGAACGTAGTCTGGTTTCTTCGAATGCAGAAAAACTGTGTTTTCAATGAAAATTTCATTGATAGACTAAGCAAATCTACCGCCATTTCTTATAATTCTAAGAGAAGATGAAGTACGTACTACTGACCAGGTAGAAGAATCGAAATCAAACGCAAACGCTCGAAGGTATAAAGTTAAACTCTCGGGTAAGCGAGGATGACAGAAAATATTAGAATTCCTTGGGAGAAAGATATAACTTGTATTGGCCGGAGTCGCGAATCAGTCCTCTTCAAACTTTTTGGAGAATTGCGATACAAAATATAGTAAGGATATCAAGTACTTCTGTAACCATGAGTTACCTCCTTGTTTCCAAGGCAACCGCATTTCTTGTCTAAACTGAAAATATAAACGAGTTGACACTGACATTTGTCTATCGTCCAGTAATTCAGTTTGCGTGAGAATGATGAAACGACAGTCCGTTGATCAAACAGGCCAGAATTGCACAAAACCTATCCATTTTAGAAGGATCAAATCCATTGAAAATTTTGAACGCAAAGATGATGAAGATACGAGCAAAACAAGCCCAGCGTCCAAGGGATGTCCGAGTTCTTGTACAGGTAAGTTCAAAGAACGCGTCAGTTAACGACTCGGTTGTGTATAACAAGGAAATTACTATCCAATCCACGATTAAGTAACAAAAATTTATTAACTACTTGAACGCGAAAATGAAAAATTACACTGCTTGACTGAACTCTCGAACAGTTTGCAACAATGAGATCACTATGTGGGAAGCAAAGGGTATTAATTTACATGGTACATGGTACGACGTGCCGTATCGTGGAAATGGCTTCCATATCGTAAGTTTTCCACAGCCATCGGTAATCGAAAAAGATTAATTTCGGTTGCGCGCGCGTTTAAAGATACCAACCAACTGGTTACTACTCAAAAATGGACCTCTTAACATTGGGCATAATTTTTTCCCATTTCAGACCACGTGTCATTCCCTATAGTATCATAGTTTGTTTGATGGTTGCGCATGACAAGACACCTGAATATGGATACAACTCAAACAAACAAAATATATCCTCGTGACACGTTTATTTATGACACGTGGTCGGAAATGGGAAAATACTTCGCCCAAGACGGTAACATCTGGTCAAATATCAATGTAAAAGCGGCGAAAAAGCGGCTGATCACCGTTGGCGCCAGAATTAGGGCAGCTTCAAGAATAGAATACTAAAGCCGCGCCAACGCAAAGTCAACTTACAGACATCTTGCGTCACTGTCGTCAATTAGCTGCCATCCATTAAAAAAATTGTAAGCGCTTTGAAATAGCATTTCCTGCTTATGTAAAAAATTCTATTGCGTGCGTTCTTACGCTTCAGATTTTGGAAAGTTCTCGATGCAAATGGACAACAAGGCAGTGCGTCTAAGGACAGCGCACTTGCATTGGTTGATAGATAACAAGGTATTTACGAACAACAACTCTGATGACTCTCAGTATGATCTAAGACAACACAGGCCAAGCAACAGTGCGCGCTACCCTATCAGGATACCACGGAACAAGAAGGGAACTGACCCCGAGTGGTGTAAGTAAAGTAGAATTGTCTCTTACGATCCCTGACTAACTGATACACAAGCAACAGTGCGTGCTACCCTATTACGATACCACAGAACGAGAAGTGTACTGACCCCGAGTGGGGTAAGTAAAGTAGAATTGTCTCTTACGACCCCTGACTAGTTGAAACACCAAATAACAGTGTGCGCCCTGCCCTAGGATATCGTAGAATAGGAATGATAACTGTCTCTAGTACATGATTCTTTCCAAAAAAAACCCTCATGTATAATGATTCTTTCTAGTTTGTTCAGATTATCGAGTACACATTTACAACAGCAACAAAGACAAACTATGGGTCAAGCAATGGATTCTAGGAATCCTTAAGGCCAAGCGCTTCCAAGTGACAATAAACTACCAACCGTGTTGGGACTGTGACCGAGTCATCATTATCCTAAGCCAGCATTTTTTAAGTTCAGCAGACTTGGTCAGCGAAGTGCATGATGGAATGGAGGGACGGGTATCTATGGTGATAAGGAAAGAGGAATGCTGGGAACAAGATGATTTTGCTAACAAATGCCAGGTTCTTGTTGACCTATCGAACTTAGTTATGCAGGATTATTCATTTCAAACCAATCTGATGTCTTGGCTGCTCAAGGGGTTATCACTTCCGGAATCAATTTGCTCAGCTTAAACTTACTCTCAACCCTAGACCCCTGACATTCTTACTAAGCATGCTGATAGGACTATTAAAATTGGGTCTAGAGTGGGCATTAATTATACAACTATTCAATGATGGGCTCCCTGTGCTAACCACAGGAAATCCATACACAAGACAAACAAGACTAAAGTTATGCATGCTAATATGACAAATACAGGATGTCATATTCATTGATTTTTAACTTAATGTATATGTTTACTATTTCAAACCTCTTGTCAATATCATCTTCATATTATCATCAAGGTAGTCATTGCTCTTGTAATAAGATTCATTATAAAGTCTCCTCAGTAAAAAAAGTCCTTGAGCAATGCTAGCAAAATAAGAAATTAAATGGTGATTCTAAATCCTAAGAAAACTAACAGTTATAAAAAAATAATGCTTGAGTAAATGATGATGATGTTGCTGTTGTTCATGTTGTTCTTGTTGCTGATGATATAATAATGATGATGTAACTGTTGTTCATGTTGATGCTGCTGATGATATTGTGACGGTTGTTCATGTTGTTGACATAATGATAATGATGTTGATGATGTAGTTAATAATAATAAGTTGATGATAATGTAAGTGACATTAATATTGCTGTTGTTGTTGTTGTTGTTGCTAATGATAATGATGATGAGGTCTATGATGCTCATGTATGTCATCGTTGCTGCTGCTCCTAACAATGATGACCATGATGTCACTGTCGTTCATGTTGCTATTGTTGTTGATTATGTCTGTGGTGCTTTTGTTATTACTATTTATGATAGCGATGAGTTTTGGTATTGTTGCTAAAGTGTTAACAATTGTTACTGGCTATTGTGATGATGTTGCAAGAGTGATGAATTTATAAAATAAAGATAAATGACATCAGTGCAACAACATTCAAACATTATTCCCACTGAGATAGCTCACCTTTGATCAGGACAGATGTGATTACAACTTGAACAACTTTTCCAAAATAAGGCATGTTGCAGCATAAAATATTATTTTTGCATCTTCTTCCTCTGTCATGATATTAATCCTGCTCAAAGATCACCAATCATCATCATCATAACCAAAGAGTAGCTGCCATCTCAAATACATGACCTACGACCTAGTGCAAATAATACATAAATTAGGAATTGACCAATCAGTATCGAGCATCTGTGTTGAAAAAAATCAATAAAAGGTAGTGAAGGACCAGGGATTTGGACTGTGTTTTGGTTCTATATTCACATGTTAATTCAACATCTTGACCCTTCTTTGACCTCTTGCTCCATTACTTCAATATCTGGTCCCCCTTTGACCTCTCACCCATGTGCACCCACTCCCCTCAAAGAGTGAAAGAGAGTGGCTGTAAATAAACAATCTGATCTTCAGGATTCCATATCTGGACACCCCTTGATATCCACTCTTAAATTTCCTGAGCCCCATGCCAAATTTTCTTGGGTACATAGCTCCCCCCTGTCCCCAATGCCAAATTTTCTGGGGTAGCTCTGCCCTTACTCTGTGCATAGGTTCATATGCATAACGATAATAATAAGATATACATTATGCATACATTCATTAGATTCTTACACTTTGCTTACATTACATGTCTGGCGGCTGACCCGAAACTTGTTTTTATCAACATCTAAAACTCAAGTGGATCATTCTTTCAAACCAAGCTTTGCTCGTGCATCCCAGCCATATTATGTCCCAAAAAACAACTGTGTTTCTCAATTTGGAATAATAGTCAAGGTCTTTGAACAACACTGACTGATACTTAGAAGTGCCATATTGTTTTTGCTGTTTCTTGGTGGAAGGTCGTCCATGATTTATAACAGTTTTTAGCCTGTCATTCTGTGTGGGCTTTTCTTCAACATATACTGAGTGAAGAAATTGTCTCTAATTAAAGATTTCCAAATCTTTTTGCTGAAAGTTATATCCATGTGCAAAAGTTTTGGTTTCTTCCAGTAAAAACACAAGTGATGTTTGTGCACAAATCAAATACCAGTAAAAGTAAGTTCTGAAAGCCTTAGGCTAATGTTGTAAACTAATTCCCTGACATTTTTAACATATGCTCCTCTCTCCTAAGCTACAAGAAGTGTCGAAAAAGGGGAGGAAACGAGAAACAAGAATGAAAATATTGTCAATGGCCACCGGAAATGACAATGGATTTAAAACGAGGGCGAACTTCGTACTTCCGGTTTAGGTTATAGCTAGTAATATTTCTGACGCATTTAGCTGTTCGCCACCTCGGGAACCCTGCGCCTTCAGATCTGGGTAACCGTTCATCATTTATCGGAGGGGAGGGAAAAGGAATAAGTCATTTATCGGGATGGGGATGGGGATGGGTCATCGTGCGAGGGATTTTCTATTTGATTTTTCTTATTTGAAGCTGGCTAACATTCCTAAAAATAATGACTCTCTTTCTTAAACTTAGACTAATAATTTTTTAATGATTTCTTTTGGCAAAAATGTTTTACTATTGGAAACAAATCCTACAAAGATAACATTAAGAATCAGTACTATCGCACCACATGTACCGGAAATACCAACTTTTGAATGAGAAATATCAGCGTCAAGTGTCAGCAACTTGCGGACTTTAAAACAATTTCCAAGCTGAACAAGCGACATACGTAAAATATTATTCGCGTCTTTCCGAAAAATACTGGTGTAAAACAAAGCGTTTTCCAGTTTTACAATTTCTGGCTCTAAGGGCACGTGGATCAACGGTGGAATGAAGGTTTTTGACAGTAATTTCAAACTGGTGGTTGAGAGAATAACGGAAGTAAAACTGAAACAGGAACTTGTGGGAGACTTTAGACATTTCATATAAGGGTTATTGATAAGCATAAATCTAAGCTTATTTTATCACCTCTAATTTCTCACTGTGTTTCTCACTCCTTAAGATTACAACTGATCCTCAATCAACAATGATATATCATTGTTTACTTAGATTTGCATAGCTTTAAATTCCAGTTACTGGTAAATGGTAATTTTTAACTTAGAAATATAATTTTTTCCTTACTAATCCTCTTGATCAGTCCAAATCATAGTGTATACTGTATGTGTTGGGTGGCTGTTGACTCGAAAGTTTATACTACTTCAACAGCCATGCACACCTATTTATTTTTTCCCTCTTGTATTAACCCGAATTCTTTGTATATATAATCTCCACTTGTATCATCATTCATTCCACTTTTTGGTAACAATTTAGCTTATTGTGTGCGAATAAACTTGAAACTTGAAAACTTGAGTTTTCAAGCTCGCTATGTCAATCAGTATTTATAGCTCGGTTTTTTGGTATTCCCATTTTCATTTTATCTCGGTTCAGAGGCTTGTTCGTTCTGTGAATCCTTTGGGAGCGGTGAATAAAAGAAATAGAAAAATGCAGGCGATGAGCTCTACTGCTGAAATAAGCGTATCTCAAAATATGGCTCAATAGACTCCTTTCCGGTGAAATTATCCAGAACCGGTGAGTGAGTAAACCAAGTGAGAACTAGAAAAAAAAATATATTAAATGAGCAAAAAAATTTCCAAGTCACAATTAAATTGAAATGTCTTTTGTATTTTTCTTCTAGCCCTTTTGGAATAATTTCGAAAGTTAATGGTAAAAATTAAAAAAATGAATAGAATTTGAGTGATGGGAAGTGGAAATATGGATGAGATAAATAAATAGCCACGTGGAGGTCCAGTGCGCGTGCGCACTCCTTGTCCCAGCTAAGCCTCGTTATGATGTGTATACCCGTAGGGGATGCTGGGTAATCTCACAGCGCGCTCCTCTTCGATCGTCTTTATGCAAATCTGCGCATCGTCGCCAGTATTTTCTAACACCACCCTTCACGAGCTTCTAATTTGTCCTCCACTATTTCTCGCCATTCCAAGGTACTTCAAACCAGTCCACAGTGCCTCGGGATGTCCTCTGGAATATCTAGGAAGAAGCGGTGAGTATTTTAGCCCGTGATCGAGACGGTTTCCGTAAAATCTTCGAGTTTCCGTGTTTCGTTTTTGTGGCGTGACGTTCGCGTCGAAGGGTTTGCGTTTGAATTGTTTTTCTTATTTTTCCCTTCTACCTCCTAGGCTAAGCCTTCAGGACATCGTAGATAAACTCTCACTTGAAGTTTTAGAAAAGGTTTCGGAGGATGTCGAGATCGAAGAGGTAGGAAAAAGGTCGTTCGAGGCAGCGCACCGCGCAGTCATGTCAGTTTCATTTACATTCTGGCCGCTCTGCCACTGCGCCCGGCCAGAAAATATTACCTTTATAACTTTTCTCGCCGTTTGCGCCTAAAATCTTCACTGCGCACTGTCAACATACTACACAATTTATAAGCTGATAGTTGCAGATGCCTTACGCAGTATTTTAAAGCGAAAATTCGTTATATTTTTTATAATAATTGAGGTTAAAATCCACATGGATTTGGTCCTGTCTCTTTCCAAACCGAACTTCAAAGCGAAGATACGACTTCCTCTGCTTCGGTTCAGCACTCTCTGGAACGGTTAGATTTAATTATTTTTCTTAAGTTCTCAGTAAAGGTATTTTCAAAAATCTATTTATTAGATTGGGGCAAAAATAAGGGTAGTTTCAGCACGAAATGTTGGTGTGCGCACTCGAGAAAGAATCGTAACGAGATTTACACCTCGCAATCGCGGGCGGTAAGTTGGTGCACTACCGGCGCGCTTAAAGAATATTCCACGATGTCTGCAGCGGCCGATTTGATATATTTTTAGCCTGAACATCTTCATAAGGCAAAGCTTGTTTTATTTCAAGTAATACTTCAGGTTTTCGATAATCTAGAAAACCCTCACACCGCGCGCAGCCTAAATATTCTAGAACAACTTGTGACTCGCATTCATCAAAGCTTAACAGGAGCGAACAGGTATTAAACCAAATACAAAATCTAATTTTCAACGCGTGTTTTTTTCCCTCGCTCCTTGTTGACTCAATCGGCTTCCATATAATACAGTTATAGCCAAATCTCAAGCGATTAAGCGCTGTTTTTATAGTTTCTTTACGTGGTATTTTTCATTCTTCGTCGCGCGTCGTGGTTTACTTGGATTCAGTGTTCGAAATGTGTTTGTATTTCTCTGCGCTCTCGCAAAACTTGCTCTTGCTTGCTTATGCAAAAGCAGATGACGCGATTTTTAAGTCATAAGGACAGTGATTCTATTCCAAACGTTCAAAATCTAAAAGCATTTGAAAAATCGAGAAATGCGTGGGGGTTTTCTCRAGTTAAAACTACGTAATTACACTAAGACTAATGAAGCATAGAGACAGTTTTTGGCTTTGAACGTTTTTCATTTTGGTCAATGATGAGCGACTTAGAGCGCTGGAGCAGCGTTTCACCCCCAGAATATAACACTGCGATCTTGAGATCCGTTTCCTCCCCCTTTTTGTCATCCAATCTACTAAACATCTAAAGCCGAACTTAGAAAATTACGGATCAGTTTTCAACTCCGATCTCGAAGCATTTGCCGCCGAAACACTGCAAACATACCGGATTCTGTACGGAGTTTTAAGTAAACACATCTTCTATCCCAATGTACGCAGTACAATTTGACTTTTATGTAGTAATATTCAAGGCATATTTTTTCTTCCTATTTATTAATTATTTCTAAAATTAGATTTTTACATAATTTTCGAGGCGAGAAAGATTTGTTATCACGTGACGTTTCATTTAACAAATAGTTTTCCATTATTGATTTGAATTCTGAGAAGTCTTTGAGATAATTTGTCAATAATCTCGCTTCTTTGCACTTGAAAAATATTCCTCAAATTTCTAATGAACTTTTGCAAACTTTGCTTGATGTGGCTGGAATGAAGTGAAGCAATTATCTGCCAGGACTTTTTGACATTTAAAATATATTTTATCTTCTGATGTTATCTTGTGTAATTATCACCATTATGACATTTAGATTGGGTGATAGTGTGTAGTAATCCAAACTTAAATGCCTTCACTTTGAAATATATATTCAAATAATTATGTCATTTCATTCCGAAGGGTTATTCTACTCTTACTTTTTTTGTATTCTCATACCTTTGTAGTTTTTCAGAGAATTCAAGAATTATTTTAATCAGTGTTTCTACCATTTTAATCCTTTTGAGAAATGAACTGAAAAAATGAAAGAACGATTGAAATTATTGGTTTGTGAGCATTGCATTCGTTGGTAATACCTTTTGTCTCAAGTTTCCAAAACATTTTAAATGATACATTAATTGTTGGGGCAGACCTATATACTGCAGCAAATGGCAGCAAAATTAATGTAAGAAGTATTCTGATTTGTTGGCTTGTATTTACTCACCTCACACTGTGATTGGTCAATATTTGTTGGAGAGAAGCCACTTAGGAGTCACAACATTTTATTACTCTTGCATCTTGTACATCCAGTGACATATTCAGATGATTTTAATCGGGTCTAGGCTTCAACCTAGAATATATACCAAGAATATCAAATAGAACCAATATACAACTATCTTTTCAAAATTTCAAATTATATACTTATTTTTTAATGCCAAAGTATGGTTGGGTATTCGTCACCTAATCCACGTCACCCTAAGGCTGGACACCTCACCCACTAAGTTTGCCCATTTCAGCCACAAAAGACCTTTTCTGCTTAGGAGTAATGCTTTCTCATTTCAGACCATTATCATTTATTTGTCCAACAGTTGTGCACAACTTAAACAAAGAATTTTATTTTCAAGAAAATGAAGAGTGGTCTAAAATGGGAAAACATTATGCCCAAGGGGAAAAGTTAAAACTAATATGCACACTAATATGTTGCATTATTTTGGACCATGCATGCATGCATCGATTTCTTTCTTTATGCAAGTTTAATATAATGTTCAAAATAAATACATAGAACACTAAGATTGATTTAGTGAGGTCTGACTCAAGCATCAAAACTTGTTATCAAACCAACCTTATTTATTCCAAAAATTAAAGAATCAAAAACTACTTTGCTATGCTTTCATTTAGATAAAAAACTTTTCTTTTTTGAAATTTTATTTCTTACATTTTTTTTTTTTTTTTTTTGCCCTTTTCTGATTTGTCATCTATTATTGATTTTCCATTTTAAGGTCTAATGGAAACCTCAATTTTCCATAGGTTAATTTATGGCATGTTATGAAAATTTTCAAGAAGCCTTTTT